CGTGTGGGCCCCCGCGCCGTTTGAAAAAGCAGAGTGCGGGAAAATTCCCACTTTGCTTTTTCGAACGGCGTGGGGGCACAGAGAGAGAGAGAGAGGGAGGCAAAGAGATCGCCACTCTGCACGGAGGGCAGAGCGGCGATCTCGTCGCCTCTGCCTCTCTCTCTCTCTCTCTCTCTCTCTCTCTCTCTCTCTCTCTCTCTCTGCGTGTACGACGTGAATCTTCCCGCGAAATGGGGAAGATTCATTCCCACGTTGGTTTCATTCCTGCTTTGCTGGGGTTCGAAAAACCGAAGCGGGAATGAATCTTCCCACTTTCGCGGGAAGATTCATTCATCGTACACACACACACACACACACACACAGTCGTTGTTGTTTTGTTTCTTTGGTAAGTCTTTTTTTTTTTGTCGGGAGTGTCATCCCGAAAGTGGATGAGCCAGGCCTTTGTTGGACTATCGGACGCTGCTATCGGCCTACCTCCTGAGGCTGCGGCGCGTTAACGGGCAAGCCCGCTGCCGATAGTTGGGCCCAGTACTGGTGGCTTAACGACGTCACCTTGTGCGATTAGCGCGCCAGGTGTTGCCGGGCCGCTCACCTCGCCGCGCAATGAGGCACGAAGAACACCTTGCTCTCTCTCTCATCGAGGGTGGGGCTATGCCCGCAATGCAAGAGTTGTCACCCTGGTAGTCCGTACAGGTTAGGTGTAGCGTTAGGGTAGACTTGGAAGGAAGAATGGTAACTTTCGGTGCTCTTCAGGTATTACCATGGTGAAAAAGAGATGGTGGAAAAGGGGCACCAAGAATTGGTCTAGGGTAGCCAAGCAGTCTTGGATCCGACTCTATCGCAGGGTGAAAATTCGTCTCGGCGCCGCCATATCTGGAAGGTTTTAGACCCTAGTTAGATCAGTCGTGGTGAAAATTCGTCTCAGTGAAAATTCATCTCAGCGCCGCCATATCCGGAAGGTTTATAGGATAGCTTGGCTAGATCGCTGAGCTAGGAGAAGGAGCTCAGTCGTGTTACACCATGGATGTAACCAGGAGGAAACCTGAGTAACAAGAGGGGTAATCTCTATCGAAGTAACTGCCCGATAAAACTCTTATAAACTACCGCTACGAAGAATGCTTTTGTGAATTTTCAATCCCCGAAAAGGGAAGTTTCAGGCAAAGCATCGAGTAGCCTCCAGCCGGAGTAGGTTATCTAGCTTTATAACTCCCCCCAAGTCAGAGAATTTCACTGCGCCAACTTTGGCGTTTCATACCGCTCGAACCTGTTCGACGCACTCCGCTCTGCTGTCAACTACGCAACTTACCGTAGTATTCAGGATGGGGCATCCGAGAGAGACGAGAGGCGACGTCCTTTATAAAATTTCACATCCTCACGACTGGTAGTCGGTGCACCGTGGTCGGGAGTAAAAACAAAACTCAGACAGTGGTGTAAGGGATTAGGAGCGGAGTAAGTGTATCTACTCCAGAGGAAGAGGGCAAGACTCTCTCATCGCGCAGGTTAGTGGTGGCAAGGAGCGGGGTAATCGGACCGATTCGGAAAGTACGGGGGAGGGAGAGAAGCGAACTCAACTTACGAAGTGGACTGGAGCTGGTCTACCTATCGGACTAAAATGCAGACAAGCGCAATAGTAGCTAGGTAAGACGGTTCAATTGGGCTGCAAAAGTCTTACCTTGCTGCTGGGACGACAACAGGCTCGGCGGTGCATCTGCAGTGGGACACCAGGAGGCAACCAAGTCAGGCAAGACGTGAGCTCATCAGCAATCCGCCCACTCTGGCGGGTGCTCTAAAGTCAATTAGCAACTCTCAGCAACTAACTGGTTTTAGGTACCGAGATACCATCTCTAATGATACCGCCGCTTATCTGTGGACAGGGGTGCGCATACTGAGAACACTGGAGGAGCTCCAGTTCAGGTAACGGAAGTATGTTCTGGTACGGATTTTCCCCCGACCTCCGAAACACATAGTTTAGAGCCTTGTTTGCGGGCGTAGACACGGTGTACACACACTGAGAGCATTGGAACGAATCTGGTTAGAACAACTGAAGGAAACAACATCACTAACTCTTCTGCAAACTCGTAAACAAGTAATCCGGGGTGCTGTATGAGGATGAAGACGTTCTGCCCCCTGGACTATTACCTTGGCTTCCCCTAAAGCAGAAGAAGGCCAGGTCAGGGTCAAGGAAGGAGATTTATCCAAGGTAAGAGATTCGATTGGTCGATGTTATGATGAAGGGGTATGACCGAACGATGTCAATCTCGAGAAGGTAGTAGAGGATGAGGAGGGGAGAAGATTTGTGGTTGATGGGGCAGTAGATGAGGTGAAGGAGCAGTGGTTAAAAAAGAGGTCCGGTGTAGTGATTTTTCAGGGAGAAGCAAGGAAATTGGCACGTTCGGTAAAAGAAGACATGATTAGAGCATATGAGGATGGGTGGATTGCGAGGAGGCTCAGACTGTTCCAACCAGAGACCAGAAGAGGCAGAGTTAAATTCGAAGGGCCGAACATGGCCTCGTACGTAGCTAAGGCAAAAGAGATTGCAGACTGGTTAGTCCAACAAAAGGAGATGAAGATAACCTTAGGAAAGAAGGAATATCTCATCTACTTCAGACCCAGGTTATCCAGACAGGAACTACAAGAGGTGAGAATCCAAGAAGCACAGACGAGATTCTGGATTATGGCCCTTAGAGTGCCACTTGAAGCATACTATTTCCTGCTAAGCGTTATGAAGAACATGTTCGGGGAAGTAATCTCGGTACAACCGCCGGAATACGACAACGATTGTCCAAGGCTAATGAACGCAAAGTTCGACATGCCTCTAGAAGCACGCAACAAAATTGAAGACGAATTGGTCATCCAGTCCCCAAAAGGAGTGAGGTGGAAGGTTGAGATTGTCTCCCCCTACTCGGACTGGTGTCGGAGGTGTAAGCAATACTACCACACAGAGGAGTATTGTCCCAAGTTCAAACAGAGCAGGGAAAGTCAGAGAAGTATGGGCGAATGACAAGCAGGATACAAGGTCCGGTTCCGTCAACACGTGCAGAATCAGGACCAGGCTACCCAGAGGAACACAGCGGAGAGAAGAGAATCACAAGCAGACAGGTGCGTAAATCCACAGCAACAGGCCAGACCCACTTAGGGCCAGGGGTCAGGGGGCCTGCCAGAACCGGCGGAACAAGCTCAGGCCAGGTACAGGAGGCCGGTGGAACCAGACCCGACGGGTCATGGCATCCCGCATCAGGGGGTACCCCACACTGCTGGCCAGGATTTTGGGGCGGGGGCCCAGTACTCAGCAATCAAGCACGACCCTCGTCCATGCAACCACAGGGCCTCTGGACCCATGACAGAGAAACAACGGGAGGTGGACAGGATTGGGAGGGAGAACAGATACCTATCACAGGCCACCCCCTGTTACATCCTTGGGCTCCCAGGGAGGAATGGCCAGCGTGCAACGGGGAAGGCGCGTTCAATGGAGGAACATGAATGGGAGGCACTGTCCTCGCCCCCCTCCCAATGCATTGGCAAGATCATCAGCGGACAACAGTCTACGAGAACTACTATCAACATCAGAACTTTGAAGATCTACACCGTCAAGGTTTGCCCAGACAGGTCATCTACCCGCAGCCTAGGTACCCAGTAGGACCGTATGATTGGAAGAGTTGGGCACAGGACAAGGGCTCCCCTCCTGCAGACCCAGGTAGATGGGGACTGGAAGGCGGTTCGAACAGAAGAACAAGGAGAGGCAATAGAAGACGCTGGGAGGCATGGAAGGAGGACAGTTGGGGAAACAGGGAGGGTTACACACAAAACTGGCATCAACAGATGCCAAATCAAACGAGTAGGTTAAGAGAAGAGGGGATGGCAAGGGAGAGACTCCAACGCACCACACGCTGGCAAAACCACCATTTCTGAAGAACTGTCGAAGACCTCAGTATCCTCTCGGTCCAAGGTTCGTTGGGGCAGTGAATGCAGTGAGGAGGATAGAAGAAGATCAGACCATCAGACAGTCACATCATCTTTGGAGAGTTCAGCAGACTCTGGACTGAGGAAGCGGCCCGACCAAGAAACAGGGAGCAAACAGCGATGGGGCAAGGACAAGCGGGCGGAGGCGTTGGAAAAGAACCAAATGTAGACTGTGCAGCGCTGTCTAGTCCCCCTCCTCTGCACAAGAGCAAATGAGGGGTCTTATTTTCTAGCTGCTTCAGATGCTGGAGGCGCACCCCTGATCCCTTCTATGGTGGTGGACTGCTCCCCAACCCCATCCTCAATTCTGGAGGTCACGCGAAAATTGTATGGAGCGCATGTTCCTGTCTGCGTCATCCCTCACTCCTCAATGGTCAATGTGGTAT